AACTCTGGCATTGAAGCATGCAAGTCTTAAAGCTGTCAAGTTACAAGATCCTTGCACCCCTAACCCTTTAGGGGAAAAAACCCAGGGGGCTTCAAACCTGACAGCTTTAAGGCTTGTGGACTTCAACTCCCAGAATTCCTCCTCCAGTCATGTTGTGGCGACGTCATCTGCGCAGATCTGCTCCATCTTCGGTTTTTTCACAGGGGTCAGGCTGCCCCTGAAGATGCCGACGAGCCCCCGCCACCACCAGAATAACTGCTGCTGCCTCCTCCTCCTCCTCCAACAGCACCACCACATCTGCTGCCCAGTGCTGCGGCTGAAGTGTAGCCACCAAAGCTCCCGCTGGTGCTCCCGCCCGTGGGCTGAGCTGGGCCCCGTGTTACCCCTGCCGCCACCTCCTCCTCCTCTGCCGTGCTTTTGAGAAGCCATGCGGCCTTTTTTTCCTGCTCCCGCCCCCTCCGCCGCCTTCCTACTGGCTCCCGCAACCTCATGGCTCCTCAAAAGCATGGCGGAGGAGGAGGGAGGAGGGATAATGCGGGGCCCAGCTCAGGTGCTCCCAGAGGAAGGGGAGGCGTTGCTGCCATGGGTGGGGGTGCCGGCGGGAGCTTTGGTGGCTTCACCTCAGCGTCGGGTGGCAAATCCAGCAGTGCTTTTGGAGGAGGAGAAGGCGGCAGCAGATATTCCGGTGGCAGCAGGAGCTTTGGGGGTTTACTTCAGCCACAGCGCCGGGCGCAAGCAGCTAGGAGTGGCCGCCCACAAAGGACCTCCCCGAGCTTGCTTTGCTGAAAACGGGGTGACTGGCGCTAGTTTGAGCAGCTGCGGCCAGTGCAAACTACCATCAGTCACCCAGTGCTCAACAAAACAAGTCTGGGGAGGTCCTTTGCGGGTGGCCAGTTCTAGCCGCACCTTAGAGGGAACATTGCCGGCGTTCCCGGAAGTTAATTACTTCCGGGTTCACCGACTAACCGGTCCACAAGGACCGGCAAGGACTGGTAGGAACCCACCCCTGCTCCACCATTAGCAAATGCATCCTGTTGTCTGGGTGGGAAATGCCTGAAACACAATAAAGCTCACCCACCCACTTACCTCCTGCTTGCAGGCTGGGGTGAAAGAAGAGGCAGAGAAGCCGGAAGAGAGCCAATCCAAGCCTTTGATTGCAGGCGGAGCCACATTGCCTTTTCAAACTTGTAATCAGTGAA